TTATAACCACCAGATTAGCTTTTACAAAGTACAAGCCCACTCTGATAACATTCTTAATAATTTAGCAGACTTACTAGCAAAACAACATAATCCATCACCTATATTATATCTCAACTATACAAGTATCTACAATCCATATCATATAATTCTTTAGGACCAACATTTTATAGAACATTCAACTAGAAGCTTTACCAAAAATATCTGCAAAGCCTACATTTTAGCAATGTGGTTCTCCCAAAAACATAACAAAGAATAGGAAGCCTTGGTCTTCCAAATTAATTGGAGATCAACTTGGCTTTCTTTAACTACAACCAAAAAACAACTCATAATGTCATAAACTTTAAACTCAACTATCTTAAATCTTTTAAAATTAAAATCCTATTAAATGAACTTCCTACCTATTTTCATTTTCACAAAACCTATTCACATACATTTTACAATACTAACTGTTTTAACTGCAATCTCACTGATTCTCTAACTCATTGGCATACATGCTCAAACCCATCACTTATCTTCAATATTATCCAAACTAGTATATCTGAATACATTAATCATACAGACCTTGATTTATCTACAAACCAATAAGAAGAACTTATTCATAAAATCAGTAACTACTACACTTTTTACCCTATACCTCTCCAAACCAATCAACACTATCTCAATATTACACTCAAAGGACTTATTCCTAAATCTTTAATTGAGACTGTACAAAACTTTAACATCTCATACAAACTAGTTTCACAAACAATTATTGCTATTCTGCTTAAAGTTAATGAACTTTATTATAAACAAATATGGAAACCATATTGTATAAACTTTGCTAACTGGAAACAACAACAAGAACTTAAACTACCCTATTCCAGATCCTCATTTCAATCAAATCAAAATAACAAAAGAAACTCTAATCGCAAAAATTATACTTATTCTTGTCTATGTAGGCTATCTGATCAACTACACCCCAACTCTAATACCTGTCCACCTATTAGTTATGCTATTCATAAAATCAACATCTGAATTATCCTTTGTATCAAATATAATATTTCTTATAATTATATTCTAAACTTACAAATCTAGGTGAGTCTTGACCACTCTAGTAGGTTTAGGTCACAGATAAATATGTCTAAGCTTTTATTCTTGAATGTAGTTTTCTTTTATTTGACTTAGAATAGCTATATAGTTAGCAGTTTAATGATTTAGTCCTGACTGCAAGTGTTGGTTCTAGCCATAGCATTTATATAGAAAATTACTTTTTGTACATAGTAACTTCACATAGCTACTAATTTCTAAACTATCGATAAAGATACGAGCAAGGCCTCATCTTAATACCAAAAAAAAAATTAATACTTATTATTTTTAATTAATTTAAAATAATTGTAATACTATTCATAAAAATAAGATATCTAAAGAGTATCACTTTTAAATATACTAATTCTAATTATTAAATCTTTTAAAATTTTAATTAATTTTAAAAAATCATTCCAATATACTTTATTATTAACTATTTTTTTAATATTTTTATCTATATCATTTTGATTTGTGATTAATTTTATAAAAATAAGATTAATTGCAATATAATTAATTTTAACTGATTCTATATATATAAAAAAAGAATTTCATCTAGTTTTTGCAAATAATTTAAGTAAAATTTTTGATTTTTGTATTTATTGATAATGCTTAAAAATAACTGCAAGAATATGATAATTTCTAAAAAATTTAATAAAACTTTTATTTTTTATATATTGATTTAGTCCAATTTAATTTCATAATATCTTGAATAATAAGATTTAAATTATGTGCCAAACAACTTATATAAATAATATTAAAAAAAATATTACTAAAATTTTTCAAGATTTTTTCATAACTAAAATATTATTAGTTATTATAATATAAAGTTTAGATTTATCTATAGTTAATATAATATCTTTTATATCTTTAGTAATATTATAAGTATTTTGACATATTTTCTTAATAAGTTTAATAAAAATAAATACTAGTTTTAATATTATAAAAATAAAATTAGTCTAATATTTAGAAGAAATACTAGATCTAAATATAAATAATTTATTTTTTTTAGTAAAATTAAAAGAAAATAAATCATAATTTATAAATTATTAATTTAAAATAAATAAATTTTATATTATTTAACTTATTTTAATAAGATAAATATAAAAATTAATTAATTTAAATTATTGATTTATAAAAATATATTATAGAAAAGTTATAATAACTTATAATTTATTAAGCCAAATTATAATACTTCTCTATATTATAATATTTTATAAGTTATTTTAATATTTAAAATTTTATCATCTATCACAAATTAAAGTCAAAAATTCAATATTTCAATATTTTTGTCTACTTTTAATTTAGTCTTATTATATACAATTTCTAATAATTGATCAGTCATCTTCTTTCTTGTAAATAATTTAAATGAAAGTTTTAATTTTTTAATTCAGGCTTTAATTGGATTTAGTTTATAAAATAAAAGAGAAAAGTTATATTAAAAAACAACTTCAGCAAAACTTAATTCAAGAACATCATATTTATTTATTATAATATGATCAAAAAAAGTTTTAATATTTATATTATATAATGATTTTTTTAAAATATTTGATTTTAATGAGAAGTAACTTAAGAAGATGTTATTTTTGAATTATCAAAATATGCTTGATAACTTTTATTATCAATTTTAGAACAATTTTTAAATGAGTTTCATATTTATTAATTACTTTATTACAAGTATGAGAACAAAAATTATATTGAACTCTTAATTATTTATATAAAGAAACTATACCAATATCAGTATAATAAATATAAACAAGACTTGGATTTTGTGACATTTAGTTACAAAAAATTAGATATGAAGAGTTAAAAGAAATAATATTCAAAAAGTTTTAATTCATAAATAAAATGTTTATAAGTTTATGATGCCAATATAATTTTATAGATAATTATATAAAATGTTTTACTATAAGTTTCATAATAAATTATATTGTCACGATCCAAAATAGGATCGTCGATATTTCATTTAAGTTACATCATATAATGAAGTAATAATATATAGTAATTATTATAACACATAGTATATAGAGCGTAATTAGTAGATACAGCACATAGAGCATAATTAGTAGATAGAGTACATAGAGTGTAATTAGTAGATATAACATAATCAATATAATTAGTAGATATAGCATATAGAACATAATTAGTAGATATAGCATAATCAGTGTAATTAGTAGATATAGCATATAGAACGTAATTAGTAGATATAGCATATAGGAAAAAAGTATATAAGTAATGTGGTTATAATGTAATAAAAAAAAAGGTCTCACAGTATATCTAATAAAGAAATACCCTTAGTACTCGCCCAAATCCAACCCATCTTTTGAGTACTAATTCGTCCGACGTTACGCGAGAGACGTTTGTCTACCCTATGAATAGGGAGTTTTAGAGTCTACAATTTCCGTAATACGACAATATATAAATATTGTCATTTTACAATATTTTATAATATAAACACAATCAAATTAAGATATTAATTAAACTTTTTTTATATTATAAATTTTCTATATAAAATTTTGATGGGCAAAAATGCGCATGATTCGGAAACATGCACATGATTCAGGTTACATGCACACGCATGATACCCATCTCTAGTTATCACCTATTGATATCTAAATCTGAAAATATCACCCACCCAGATTTATAAAAGCCATTCCACTTATCCCTCACTCTCCAGTACACTGTTGGATTTAAATTGGTCTTCCAGTTTACCGATTCCCTAGCTCCAATTTCAACAGTTACAATAGGCTTAATCTTTCGATTTCTCACGTGTTGATAAGCTTTGATGCGTATATATAAATCAGGTTTATTTTGTGATAATTGATAAATTCTCTACTTTTAAAAATTGCTTTGGATTTATCGTTTTAAAATTCTAATTTAATTCTCAGCGTATTAATTCATAGTAGAATATAATCATACGTGCTTGGAATGATGGAATAAAAATAAACTAGATAAGAATTTGAAATGAAATAAACTGAACAATTGAATAGGCAGAATAATTCACACAAACAGCGTCTCATTAGTCCCGTTATGCCTATTTCCTAATCATAGTCATGATCTTATGATCTGTTATGGCTTATAAAATTTACTGATATTACTAAGATCTTATGACCGCTCTGGTCATATAAAGTTAGATATGACCTAAAATGGCCACCATTGATAGAAATAGAATAAAGTAATTCGAAGTTTTTCGTTATATTGAATTGAAAAAGTTTTTAAGGTTGATTCTTTTTATGATCATGAGTGATTTGTTATATTTCGCTGAACACATTTCATGAGTACTTTTTTAACATTTTAATTATTCACATATTTATCTTTTAGGTTTTTTTTCGCTAGTATAAATTTGTGCTAAAAAGTATTGGTTTTATAAGATAGCTGGAACTAACCAGACAGGTATTAAAAAAGGATTTATTTATGAGTTTGGCAAAATATAAATTGATTTAGACAATTACCAATATTTTAATTATAGATGTTACGAATTCATAAATTCTTTTTTTACACAAATTGATAAAAATATATACTTAGAACCCAATTAATCTTAAAATATATTACACAAACTAACCTTTTATCTTAGCAGGAACAATATTTTTTGTATAAAATTTTATTAAAGTTTTAAAACAAGTCATGAATATTTATATTATTACTTGATCTGATGATTTTATTAAACAAATAAGAAAAATACATCAATATGAAACTTCTGTTCGCATTAAAAATACTATTAATATATAGAAATATCTACTAGCATTAAGGCAAAGTGATAAATAAACATACTTTATGCTTAATCTAAAAATACACGCATGATTGTCTCATCGTCAAGCCTGCATTAAACTATAAAAAATAAAAGAAATAAAATAATATTCAATAATATTTAAAGCGTGAAATAATACTACAATAAATTTATGAAAAATTGCATACACAAAATTTTTTTTAAAAAAAAATCAAAGATCAGGAACATCTAGAAGATCGATTTCCTTGCTGAGTAAAGTCATTTCAGATAACTTTTCTGTAATTTCCCGTGTGTTAATGAGTTTGCTTCCACCTTTGAACATATCCTCATAGTATGATTCTTCGACATTCTCAAGTACTGTTTTGGACTTATTTAGTTCTAACAAAATACTTTCATTACTATGCCATTCCTCAAAAATTTCGCAAAGATCTTTTGCTGATGGACGTTTTTCTGGATATTTATCCCAACATTTTCTCAT